AGTTGTTCTGTTTCTTATGTCCGTTACTCAGTATTTACAAATGCCTGCTCGAATAGCCATGTCTTTAGTTTTTTCCAAAATGCTAGAAGCGAAGAAGCTGATCTGATCTCCCTAGGAAGAGTGTTCCATAGCCGAGGGGTCACCATTGAGAAGGCCCTGTTTCTCTTCCCCGCCAGCCGTGCTTGTGACGATGGCAGGACTGAGAGCAGGGCCTCTCCAGACAATCTTAAAGTCCTGGATGGTTCATAAGGGGAGATGTATTCAGACAGGTAAGTTGGGCCAGAACAATTCAGTACTTTGGATAGCTCCTTTAAAGTTCAGACTCAAATCTAGAGCAGATGTACTGTGAAATTCAGGGGGTTGCTATAAGTCAGCTGGTGACTTGCGCACATATACACACAGACACAACTGCAGATTTGTTTGTTTAACAGACCCCCCCCCCAAATGCTTCTGTTTTCTTCCTGTTTACCTTCGCTGATAAAAGAAAAAACAACTTAAAATATATTTATGAATGCAGATGGATTGACTGGCAGATAAGTAGCTAGAGCAGTTTATAGCCAGGCTTTGGGTTGTGAGCTCTGCGTCTTGACACAGGGAGATGGGGGTTACATTTAAATGTAGTTTGTGTTTTATTAATTTCAAATAAAGCGTGTTATTAATAGGTTTAGATTTTAATTTATTTCACATATTTGTCTTTCAAAAAGATGTTTTGGAAGAAAGGCCTACAGCTATGCTTTGTTAGGCTCATTCTGAATTTTATTGAATCCACTGCTGAAATATTAGTCACAGTATATGTTTAAATTCCCTCAATTGAATAGATCTACTTCAGTGAAGAACAACTTCACTGAAGATTTATTCTCGAAGACTTTATTATAGGCATAACTTTATACTCCAAACTGGAAAATCTTTTCAGAGGAAGAGTGTTGTTTAATAAACAGAAATAGCCAAATGGTCAGCAAATGAAATGGAAAGAGTGGAGCTTTTTCTGTGGTTGTGCTTCCTCTTTGAAATTCTCTTTCTAGAAGTGCCTCCTTTTCTCTGATGCTTAGATACCTAGTGACGGGGGTCTTATTTGAGCTTTTAAAAGCAACACTAAAATGTCGAAGTTTAATCAGTTATTATTCTTACTGCTGTCCCTTCCAGTTGTCGCCAGGGACTCATTCTTTTATGATAAATTTGTTACACGTACGTAAGCTATCAGGCTATTAATGGTGGAAAAAAGCAGGATAGAAACACACATTGGGTTAGATTGTTTTAAAAGTGTGTATGTATGTTTGTGAAACGGCATATTCATGTGCTGCTCGGAAATCTGCTTTCTCTAGCTCTCTGAACTCCACTTGCAACTTGTAATTAGCAGCAAGACTAGATGGTCCACTTTTCGGAGAGTAATTAGTACACTAATTGTGTTTGACTGTTTGACCATACTTGGTTGCTGTAATTGAGGTGGGATGGTGAACTCCTTCACCATGTCTGCTCTGGGTCTTGCTGATGACAATGTGATATAATGAAGCCTGCGCACAGACGTCAAAATGGGCTAGAATATAGTTGACCTTTCCCAAGGCTTGGAAGAGAAGCAAAAGTGGAAAGGGAAAAGTGAATGGTGACGTTGGGAAGAGAGAGATTTCTGGATGGGGGAAACATTTGAAGCACAAAACAAATGTTGGCTGTTCTGAAAAATGTACTCAGCCCTGGAGAAAAAGAAGATCTGTTGCAGAGAAGGAAATACAGTCCAATAGGGGAATTAAGAATGAATAAAAATACATACATAACTGGAAGTTTATTTCAGATTTAGTATCACTACTGGAATATGCTGTGAGCTAAGTCATTGGTTTTCAGTAGGTGTTTTGTACCCCACAAATGGATTAAGTTGTGACAGTGGGTTGTCATTCTTTTTCTTTTTAAGGAACAGCAAAAAGGGCAATCAAAGGCAGAGGGAATGAGCTTCATTTTAATAGACGATTTCAAGAGACACCTCTTTTACTGCACTCCTCCATGCCGTTATCAAAATTGTGTTTGCTGTGGCATTATTAGGGCAAAGAAGTTCTTTCATCTGCCTTAAAAATAGAAGAAGACTAGCATTTGTGTGATTTTAAGGTAGACTCTGAAGCTCTCGGCAACACAATGGGTTAAAACCTTATGCTGACAGGACTGCTGACCGACAAGTTGGTGGTTCGATTCCAGGCTGCAGGGTGAGCTCCCATCTCAGCTCTAGTTTCCCATGCGGCGACATGAGAGAAGCCTCCCACAGGATGGTAAAATATCAAAACATCTGGGCACCCCCTGGTTAACGTCCTTGTAGATGGCCAAATCTCTCACACCAGAGGTGACTTCCAGTTTCTCAAGGTATTCCTGACACAAAAAAAGTAGGCTCTGGAAGTAACTTTACAAAACATTGAGGGCCCTTCCACACAGCCCTATATCCCAGAATATCAAGGCAGAAAATCCCACAATATGTGCTTTGAACTGGGTTATCAGAGTCCACACTGCCATATATTGCAGTTCAAAGCAGATAATGTGGGATTTTCTGCCTTGATATTCTGAGATATAGGGCTATGTGGAAGGGCCATGAGTGATAATGCTAAATTGAGGTTCTTTTCTGCACTGTTTCTTGGCAGAGAGACAGTTTTCAAGTCATAGCCCTGATTTTGGTTCTATTCATTCAGGTGTAAGAGAGCTTTGTCTTTTCTTCTTTTTGAATCTTATCCCAGTTATTCCTGTCTATTATCTCTTTGCCTGTGCTCACCCTTCACTGGAAACAAAAAGGGACCTTTCCAAATACAACAGTAACAGGAAAAGTCTCACTTCTGTTAAACTGGACCATGTGATGATTGTTATGAAGTTTTGTAATCCTGTTTTCGTTGATTTTGATGATTATGGAACAGAGTCCAGTGGAAGCTGAGCTCATTAGAAATGAGGTAGCAAACAACTTGCCCTAAACAGTTATTGAAGGGGAAATCACATTTCCAGGACAAGCTCCATATCCATGGAACTTAGTCATGGTTTCACGAATCCTCTTATGGCCTCCTGTACAAGCTGCACTCTCTTCTCAATACCTCCCAAATTCACTCCATTGAATACAATAGGGTTGACTATTATCTCCAGTTCCACATATCCATGTGAAATCAGGGAATGTATTCCCCATGGATATGGGAAGCATATTGTATTACAGTAATTTGTGGAAGATGCACCCAAAAACTATTACACATGAGGAAGTGTGCATTCAAAATAATTCTACCCATTGCTAATCCTAGCAGGAACAAAAAGGATCATACTGAGCTCTTCTTTGTTTCCAACAATCCTTTCCGAATTTCTTTATGGCTGAATGCTAACCCAAAAGAAATGTGATTTCAATAACAGTGCTTGACAGGTTTACTGTGCTGTGTGCCATATTCTTGGCAAAAAAAAGTTTCATATTGGTAGGAGTTGGATCAGCCTCATCTTCTGTCCTTAGCTCCACTCACTGAAGGATGTGATTGTAAAAGAAAATTAGAAACTGCCTCTGCAGGGAAGGAATGCACACATACCATTTTCATAACATTCAACCATGATTTAGAATAGAGTGGTAATACAGTCAATTATGTGGTATACATGCCTAGCTTCCAAACATTGCTTGTGGGTTAACTTCTCTTTTCTCCAATACAGTAGATCCAACTTTTGTAGATCCACGCTTATCCAACCTTTGCTCATCTAACGTTCTGTATTATGCAACGCAGTTTGCCTCCCGCCCGGATCCACAGCAAATCTAGTAATTACAACATAACGTTACTGTGTATTGAACTGCTTTTCCTGTTGAAACATTATGTCTTGGTGCTTCATATGTAAAATCATAATGTAATTTGATGATTAGTAGGCTTTTTCTTAATCCTTCCTTATTATCCAACATTTTCGCTTATCCAACATTCTGCCGGCCCGTTTATGTTGGATAAGCAAGACTCTACTGTAACTGGAAGTCTCTGAAGCCAGCTGTCTATTGTATACAGATGAATGTCACTGAGTCATGTTTTTTTTCACCTGTTCTGTTAGAAGATGAGAAGACAGTGCAAAATATTCTCTCCCACCCATTGCTGTTTCCATCTGAAATTCCTTTACCCCCTGTGCAGTTTCAAATGCATGTTTCTGAACAGTAGACATAAAATACAATGTTGTCACTCCTCAGTGGAACTTTCTGTCTTTGGGGCTCAGTTATTCTGATAATGTCACCACGAAATGTTTATTAAACAATCTTAAGATCTGCAGAGTGTGAGCCACTTAGGAATAATTATAAAGGCCTGCATGTAATAGATCTGTGGTGGATTTATGGGTTTAATATATTTAGGCATCTTGATTCTTTAGATTTAGACAATGATTTCAGCATTTTATATGCTTTTTAAAAAATGCAACGAGCTGTTTCTATCCAGTAAAATATCACACATAGATAATGCCTTTTCCTAACACAAACAGTGTGAAATTCACCCACAGCATGTACACCAGTGCTGGAACTAGTATGTTTTTTTTTGGGGGGGGGGGGTTCCCCCAGAAGAGACAGACCAGATTAAAAATGCATTCTCAGATATATGATTAATTATTGGATTTGTTGCACTAATTATTTAGAAGCCTAAATAATTAGTGCAGGTCTTTTTTAAAAAAATAAAGGAAGATTGAAGTAGATATAGCTTGGAGAAACTTTGCACAGAATATAGTCTGATGGCAACAGAAAATTAATCTGGAGCAGAGGCTTGCCTAAATGCTCCAGCAGATCTAATGCCTCTCTTTTGAGATAGAAGTGCACCAGTTTTGAATTTCTGCTTAGATATGCTGCAAAGAATGAGACCTTCCGGGCACTTTAAGTGGAACATCCTAGTCTGTTTGGCGTGGGTAGTGGCCTCCTGTATCAGCAAAGGCCCATTAGAGTATAACAAATCAAGAGCCAGCGTAGGAGATGGGGCAGACAGAATGCCATGAGACACTCCGTAAATCCAGCCCAACGTTCAAGAGGATTAAAAGTTTCATTACTGCGGTTGCTGCTGGAACACATGGGCCAGTCTCTGCTCCAGTTTATTATCCCAGTCTGCTATTGTCCCCTTGGGCTGGTGATAGCAAAGACAACATGTCGCCATCTTAATCAGATCTGACAAATGAACAATTGTGTTGCTGCTTGGTGAATTTGCCGGGTGACTTCAGGAGCTCTGTTTCAGAGCAAAAGGCCAGGGAGGAGCGGTCCTGTCGGACGTTGGAGAAGATGCGTTGCTGCTTGCCGCAAGCGGGGTAAGGTCGAGAGGATTTCAAGTTTGCCAGCTTTTTGTGCCAACATGTTAGGGAGGAGAATATATCTGAGGGCTGCATGAACTAAATACAGAAATAAACTGTAGGGGGTGGTTTTGTTTTGAAAGCTGCAGGGTGTTTTGGCCACCTTCCCTAAGTACAGCTGACTTGGAGAACCATTTGGATTTGCTACTGATGAAATATATTGTCTGTACTCTGCTGTAAGAGAACAAAATCCTGCAGAAGAACACTCCATTGGTATTCTTCTGCTTAGAGCTCAGTATAATTGGGATGATGCATGCTGTTTTGTTGGAGTGTATCAGCATAAAACTATATGACCTTTCTCTCCTTTCTGCTACCCAGTTGAATGGCTGTATATCAAGGCCATCCTTGGTACAGCTGTTTATAGGTGGGAAAAAAGTAATAGAGTATGGATATTATTTTTTGTAAAAGCCACTTTTAATATAACAGAAGAAGATAAGGCATCTGTGTCCTTCTAGCACAGTCTGACCACTTGTATGCAGTGATGGATATCTTTGGTCTCAATCAGTATAAACTTTCCAAGAACTTTGGTTAATCTCTGCATGACTATTAGTACATGTTGTTATTGCTATATAAATATCTAAATAGCATGATTTTAAAATAATGACATAATGTAATCATTATAAAGTGCTTGAAACTATTAGAAACTGTAAAAAAACACAATATGGGCTTACAAATTAAAGACAAAGGCATGTGAGGGAGCCTATTATGTTGCGTTTTATGTGGGGCTTCAGAAATATTACATGATGCTGAATGTGATCATCCAAAGTCTGGTCAGATTTTGACTAAAGTTCTTGGGACTGTTAGTGATTAATTACATCAATTGTGCTGATTACACTATGTAACAAAATTTGAAACATTTTCCTTTCCTGGTTTGAAAGTGTTATTTCCTGTTTAATTTTGAAGTACTTAAATTTAAAGTAGTTGTTATACTTCAGAAACGTTTTTGTGGCTGCCACAAACTATGTTGAATTGGTTGAGACTTTATGAGATATTCATTGCAAAACTATAGCAAAATGGGCTGAAGGATATCCCACAAAAACAAAGGTTTTGCAGTTTAATATGCCTTTTCCATGTTTTTTGTGTGTGATAGAACCAATTAGGAAATAATATTTATAACCCAGGAACAAAAATCATGTTACATAGTGTTGTTAGTACATTTTAAAACCTTAGGACAAATGTTGATTTGGTGTCAGGTTAATTGGAGGATACCCTGACCATCATACTTATACTAACATGCATGATAGAGATTCTTCCTTGCATTAGCACTCCAAAATTGCCAGATTAGTAGGTATGAAGAAGAGGGCCTTTTCTTCATTGCCTCAATCTCTACTCTATTCCATTATTACAGGTGATTTGAAAGCCTTTAAGGTTTGTTTTCCTTGACCTTCTCTTGATGGTAGTTTGTACAGAACTGATTGTTTTCACAGTCGTGGTGCATCTACATTGTAGAATTAGTGCAGTTTGCCACTTTAACTGCCATGGCTCAATGCTATGGAGTCCTGGGATTGGTAGTTTGATGAGGCAGCAGCATTTGTTGATATAGAAGGATAAAGATCTTGCCAAACCACAACTCCCATGATTCCATAGCACTGGGCCATGGCAGTAAAAGTGATGTTGAAATGCATTAATCTTACAGTGCAACTGCACCCTTGACTGTAATATCTTGGGGGAGAGGTTGGGTATCTTTTTTGTTCCTGCCAGTAGCATTATTTATTTACATTCCATCTTTACTCATCTCTGGAAATCATTGCGGCTTATTATTAAAACATAATTATATTTTGTTCTGCTAGTTTTTAATATATTAAGCCACTATGACATGGTTTTATATCTAAAATGTGCATTAAAATATTTAAATAAAAGTAGACGGAAAATGTGGACACCAAGAAGATAGATCAGAAGAGGACAAACCACCTCTGAACAAATCCTGCGAAGAAAATCCTGTGATATCTTTGCCTTGGGGTTGCCATAAGTCAGAAACCACCTGAAGGCACATGAGAACACACTAAAGGATATAAATATGCAGCAAAACAGAGAGAATCGAAGAAGTAGTGGATATCAAGAAGGAAAAAGAAACTGAATCGCGAAACCAAATGTTAAGGTTCAGCCGATAGGTTAATTAGGAAAAGCAAAAAGAGGTTTCCAAGCTGGAACAGAATAGTGTAACAGTGTAAAAAGAACAGATAAGAATAAATAGTTGGAAGTTGACTGAAATCAGAGAGGAACAAAAAGCCAAATGATTTGAAGAGGAAGTATAACAAAGTTAATATTCATTTGATGTCAGTGTAAGGATTGCTGAAAACAGGGAAGGAATTACAAGGGAAGATTATGTTGTGGGTGTGTGCATGCCTGTGCCTTCAATTCGCTTGTTGATTTACGGTGACCCCATGAATTTCTTATGGTTTTCATACTATGAGGTGGTTTGCCTGTTCCTTCCTCTGAAATATAGCTTACAGCACTGGGTATTTGTGGTTGATCTCTCATCCAAGCACTAATGATGGCTGACCTTGCTTAGTTTCCAAGATCAGACAGGTCCTGATGCCTTTAGGGTATTTATGCAGGTTATGCTGATTAGTTGTTTTTAATCTATTTGAGGGTTCGCTTGCAGGCAATAGTATAGGGATTCTAGGTTCTTGTAGGTTTTTTCGGGCTATAGGGCCATGTTCTAGAGGCATTTCTCCTGACGTTTCGCCTGCATCTATGGCAAGCATCCTCAGAGGTAGTGAGGTCTGTTGGAAATAGGACAATGGGTTTATATATCTGTGGAATGGCTGGGGTGGGGCAAAGAGTTCTCTGCTGAAGCTAGGTGTGAATGTCTCAGCTGACCACCTTCATTAGCATTTGAAGGCTTGGCTGAGCCTGGGAAAATGTTCTGTTGAGAGGTGTTAAGATGTGCCTGGTTGTTTCCTCTCTGCTGTTTTGCTGTAGTAATTTTAGAGTTTTTTAATACTGGTAGCCAGATTTTGTTCATTTTCATGGTCTCCTCCTTTCTGTTGAAATTGTCCACATGCTTGTGGATTTCAATGGCTTCTCTGTGTAGTCTGACATGGTGGTTGTTGGAGTGGTCCAGCATTTCTGTGTTCTCAAATAATATGCTGTGTCCAGGCTGGTTCATCAGGTGCTCTGCTATGGCTGACTTCTCTGGTTGAAGTAGTCTGCAGTGCCTTTCATGTTCCTTGATTCGTGTTTGGGCAATGCTGCGTTTGGTGGTCCCTATGTAGACTTGTCCACAGCTGCATGGTATACGGTAGACTCCTGCAGAGGTGAGAGGATCCCTGCATGGTATACGGGAGACTCCTGCAGAGGTGAGAGCTGTGGACAAGTCTACATAGGGACCACCAAACGCAGCGCCCAAACACGAATCAAGGAACATGAAAGGCACTGCAGACTACTTCAACCAGAGAAGTCAGCCATAGCAGAGCACCTGATGAACCAGCCTGGACACAGCATATTATTTGAGAACACAGAAATGCTGGACCACACCAACAACCACCATATCAGACTACACAGAGAAGCCATTGAAATCCACAAGCATGTGGACAATTTCAACAGAAAGGAGAGACCATGAAAATGAACAAAATCTGGCTACCAGTATTAAAAAACTCTAAAATTACAACAGCAAAACAGCAGAGAGGAAACAACCAGGCACATCTTAACACCTCTCAACAGAACATTTTCCCAGGCTCAGCCAAGCCTTCAAATGCTAATGAAGGTGGTCAGCTGAAACATTCACACCTAGCTTCAGCAGAGAACTCTTTGTCCCACCCCAGCCATTCCACAGATATATAAACCCATTGTCCTATTTCTAACAGACCTCACTACCTCTGAGGATGCTTGCCATAGATGCAGGTGAAATGTCAGGAGAAATGCCTCTAGAACATGGCCCTATAGCCCGAAAAAACCTACAAGAACCTAGTGATTCCAGCCATGAAAGCCTTCGACAGTATAGGGATTCGCCATGAATTGTGATTAATCCTTCCTAGGGAACCCTTCACCTATTGCTTGCATCTCCCCTTATCTCATCTCACGGAGTAAAGTGTTGCCATTTGGCTTCCCTTTGTTCTTCTCTATGGGAAGCCTCCTGTGTTCTTGCTGGTTCCTCTTATGACGGTTTCACCTCACTTCAGGCTTGGAGTGCCCCCCCCCCTCCAGTAGAGCTATGTTGTGTGGTGGGATCTGGTGGGATCTGTGCCTGAAATGAGGTGAAACTGTCGTAAGATGGGCAGTTTTGCGTGTGTGATGAGGTCATAAGCCTCAATGGGTGACCTTGGGAATGTCATAGCCCAAGAGGAAGGCAATGGCAAACCTCCTCTGTATAACTGTGGACAAGAAAACCCTACGTTAGGGTTGCCACAAAATGGATTCATGTTGATGAGATGTAACAACCACTACCACAACATTTAGGTTATAGACTGTCCACACCAAATTTAGTTCCCTTCTGCTTACCCCCCCCCTACATTGACCCACCTTTCTATTGCAGCAGGACTTGAATGAAGACTTAACCAGGTGTGGCTATGTGGTTAGCTTTGTTTCGTGTGAGCTTTTTTTTTTAGTGTCCTGGGTCAACAGAAGAAGATTGTGCTCTTTCATTCAGAAAGCCCTGCACTGGTAGTCCTCAACAGGGAATAAAAAACAGGTCTCTCTCATAACTCTTTATCTTATTTCTATCCTCCCTGCCTGGCTTTGTTTACTTCATAGAAGGGATCATCTCTCAAATATGAATTGCAAATAGAAACCCTTCTGTAGTTAAGTATGTAAATGTGCTTTCAACATGATAGCAGCTGTGACTAAGACTCGGATGACTTGTCTGCTTCGTCTTTGGGAGTTGGTGGTAATATGCATACAGCGTGTTAGAATAGCTCAGCCCTGGGGCAACTTTAGTGTATTCACGGCTCCTTTTTTCTCTCCCTGGAGAGTTTGCAGCTTGCTCTTTTGATCTGCCTTTTATCTCTCCTGCTTGG